TAGTACCTTTTGTGGAGTTATTCTGAGGTATAAATAAGGCAACATGTGGTAAATAGTGTAAGAACATAGGTTCCTTTGAGCCTTTTTTTTTTTTTGCAATTTTTGGCCAGGGCTGGGTTTGAACCCACCACCTCTGGCATATGGGGCTGGCACCCTACTCCTTTGAGCCATAGGCGCCGCCCCAGCACATAGGTTCCTTACTGTGGTTTATATTAAGTGAGAGTTTATTGGGTTTGGTGGACACATTATTCACTGTTTTTATATTTTTCAGGGGCATGTTATTTCTACTTGAATGGATAAAATCTGATGATTCTGATGGGTGTAGGGCTGCACTTTTGAGTACCACTGAGTGAGCCAGGTTTAATGTCTAAGGTAGTTTGTTTCCACCCTTTATAGCTCATACCCCAGGGACCCTTTCTTAGCCACAGCCTTGTTGGGAATGGAGCTGAGCCCATGTGGGTGTGGAGAGAAGAGGAAGACAGCCGCTATTGTTCTCTCTGCAGGCAGAGAAAGTGTTCATGGTGGCTCGAGGGCTTGTCCGAGAGGCTCGGGAGGACTTGGAAGTTCAGCAGGCCAAGCTGAAGGAGGTGAGAGACCGTTTGGACCGTGTCTCCAGGGAGGACAATCAGTACTTGGAATTGGCTACTCTGGAGCACAGGATGCTGCAGGTAGGCACTTTGGGAAGCTGCCTTTTCTCACCTGGATGGTGATCTTAGCCTGGCAGCTCATGGAGGGGCCAGGTGGGAACCATGACCAGTTTGGTGGACAGAAGCCTGGTGAGGAGGTATGCCAGAAGCTCCTTTGGAGGGACAGGGCCCCAGGCTTTCAAAACCTGTTTGCCCACATCTTCCCAGAGCACTGGAGTCAATAGTCCAGGCACTATAGTCTGGGACCTAGATTGCTGAGGAGGGAGTAACGTGGCAGGGCTGGCCCAGGAAGCACCAGATGCTTTCCTTCCTATAGACACATTCTGTAGACATCAGTGCACCTCTGGACAAACCCAAGACTGCTCAGGTGGTAGTTTATGCAGCTCATGTTGACCACTCCTGATTCCTTTGTTCCCCCCACCCAACCAGGTTTATGCTGCCTTCATTGATTCAGCATGTGTTTATGGAACATGTATTCTGTGCTGGGCATGAAGTAGTAGTGGTGGCTATGGCTGGAGGGTCACCTTGCATTCATGTAATACAGCTTTGCTTCTGCAGGAGGAGAAGAGGCTTCGTATGGCTTATCTGCGTGCAGAAGACTCTGAGCGAGAGAAGTTCTCCCTCTTCTCTGCAGCTGTGCGGGAAAGTCACGAGAAGGAGCGTGCAAGGGCTGAAAGGACCAAGAACTGGTCCCTCATTGGGTCAGTCCTGGGAGCCCTGATTGGTGTGGCTGGCTCCACCTATGTGAACCGTGTACGGCTACAGGAACTGAAGGTGTTGCTCTTGGAGGCACAGAAGGGGCCTGTGAATCTCCAGGAAGCCATCCGGGAACAGGCATCTAGCTACTCCCTCCAGCAAAAGGACCTTCACGACCTCATGGTGGACCTGAGGGGCGTGGTGCATGCTGGGCTGGGACAGGGCTCTGGGTCATGGGCAGCTACTTCCCCCACTGGAGGCAGAGACACAGATGTCCTTTCAGCTGCCTTGAAAGAGCAACTCAGTCATTCCAAGCAGGTCCAATCATGTCTAGAGGGTTTACGAGAACAACTTGATGGCCTAGAAAAGACTTCCAGCCAAATGGCTGAGGTGGTTCACTTTGCAAAAGCTGCAGCACACCCAGGCCTGGTGGAGCCAGCAGACAGAGTTCTGCCCAGTTCCTTGCTGGAACAGGGGAGCGTGATGTTGGCACTGTCAGATATGGAGCAGAGGCTAGAAACCCATGTCAATAGGAACACCATTTATAGCACACTGCTCACCTGTGTGACATTTGTGGCTATACTGCCTGTGCTCTACATGCTGTTTAGGTCTAGCTAGCCTCTGGACCTTCCTCCAGAGTGTGGATTTAGTTAGAGAATCCCAGCATTGGACTGAGTCTTTGGGGGTGTACACCACCTCAGCCTGAAGGAACACCATTTGTGTGGCTTGCCAGCAGGCATACTTTGTTTTGTAGGCAACGTTCGTTTACATTAATTTTCAAAACTTTGTACAAATGTCTTACGAAAATGTTTTAAATTTGTATTATTTAAAACAATTTACTTCAGACTGAGTTTTGTCCCTTGGAAACTGAGATCCATGACTCGAAGACTGGGCCATGAGTTAGTAATTGCCTCTTTGGTTCCTCTCACATCTCTTGGTCCTCTTTTTAGGACCATTTCAGATGCATTCCTGAGGCCTGCATTTTCATTGTGGATTTCCTGGCCCGCCTTTTGTGGCCCAAACCTTCCTGTGTCAGCTGGCCTGTGGGTTTCAGTGAGTGGAACCTAGCTTGTTGCCTGCTTATTGGTGACCATGGCTACTTTCTGTCTTCTGGATCACTTTGTCATGGTGGGGAGAACCAGAGGAGTGATCAGAGGAGAGTGGTGAAGAGAGATAGAAGGAATGGATGATAAATGTTGCTGGGGACAGAGCTGGGCATGGTGGCACACACCTGTAGTCCCAGCTAGTCAGGAGGCTGAGGCAGGAGGATTGATTGATTCAAGTCTAGCCTGGGTGACCCTGTCTCTAAACAAAATAACTAACCAAAACCCAGAAAGATTGCTGGGGATATAATTATAAGTATTGGTGGCCATTCTGGGTCTCTGGTACAGAGTGCTTTGGGCAGTACTGGTATGCTACGGGGGCTGGGTATACTTCCACAGACAGCCTCAGGAAACCTCAGCAGGCATGAGCAGAGCTCAGGCCACCAGAAAGGTGACTGGAAAGGCGGTGATGGGGACAGCCCTCCCATAGGTAGGAGGTGCAGTAGAGCACATGGACTGCCCTGAACCTGACCTCTTCCTTTTTAGAGGGGGACAGTGATCTTTGACCTCCCAGGCTAAATGGCCTTGAGTGGCCTTATGTGCCTTTGAGTAAACAGGAGCTGTGGGGCGGCACACTATTCATGTTGGAGTAGCGGAGATCTGGGTTCTCCACTCTTCTTACAGAGCTCACTGCTATAAGGTCTGTAGGTGGGGCTTGCTCACCTCTGCTTGAGCAGAACTGACTCAGCAGAGCCTGTGGAGCCAGAACTGTTTCCCATGAAGTATCCTCCCTTCTTGGAGCCTGTGCTTAGTCTTTGGCAATGAGCATGGCTCAAGTGGCCCCCTGGGTTCTCTAACCTCTGAGCACCTAGTCCTTCAGTTATTTCGTCACTACATCCTTGGTGTGTAGTGGTTCCCCAGGATGGTATAGGATGGGATGACCCCTACACTTAGAGTGTTCACACTTCTGATGGGGCAGGAGGTGCCATATCTGTGTACTGATGAGGGGGGCTGTGTGATTCTTAATTCCCAGATTCCTCTCTGGGTTGCAATAGGTTCTGAAGGGTGTACACTTCAATGAGTGGAATGGGGGAAAGGAGGATTCTAGGCATGTGAAGGTCAGTGGGCAACTGTGGGCAAACTGTCCTGGCTGAGGTGGTGATGGGTATGGGAGAGTTGAGGGGCATAAGGTAAAGAATGAGGTAGAGGACCTGGAATGCCAGGTTGGCTCTCTAAGGTCAGAGGCCAGCAGAGAGGGAACTGGGTATGGCCATGTTGGTGCAGACCTGGACTCAGGTGTTGGAATTGGGGTGGAGGAGAAAAAAGAGGACGTGAGATGTTGGGGAGATTTTGAAAGGTCCAAGGCCTAAAAGATGAGAGTGACAGGAGACCATGATAATAGGTGAGAAGTGGGAAAAGGGTGCCTGTAGTGCTAGCTCCTTGGGCAGCAGCCAGCGTAGATGACCTGAATCTGGTTAAGACTCCCTCCTAGCCTGTAGAGGCCTTGGTGTCTTTCGGGTGATGTGTATTTTGCCTCCTAGGAAGCTTTGGCCTTGAGCCAAAGTTCTCTAACAGTCCTAATAGGATGGTCTGGGGGCTGGCATCAGTTTTTTTGGCATACTTAAGTGTGAAGGACCCTGCACAGGGCACAAATGGGCCTCAGGAGAGGACCCATCTGCAAAGTTTCCTTTGCAGACCGCCAATGTGTTTGCCCGTGAGGGAGTCCAGACTTGCCAAGGCTTCTCAGCTTGGGATGGGTCCAGGTACAGGCCTGGGACGAAAGGAAGGAAATGAGCCCGTGCTTGTGCACCTCTGCAGCTGAGGTACGCTGCTGTAACACCCCAACTAGGTGGTATCAACTCCACCAGGCGGTGAGCAAATAGGCTTGGGGGGTGGTGGTGTCAGGTTACATGGCTTAGTGGGTAGCGCGGGCCGAGTTCTCAGTCGGTGCTCACCACTAACAGCCAGAGGTGGGGGCCGGAAGGAGGGGCTGGCTGCCGGGGACTCCTGGGAGAAGCAGCAGTGGGCCGGCCCGGCGCGAAGGGGAGTTCAGGTAAAGAAAAGTTGGAGAAGGACGTTCACGGGAGCCGGCTACGGGAAGGGGAGGAGGAAGCGCTGGGCGAGGCGGGTGCGGGTGGGAGGTGGTGGCTAGCTAACAGGCCGGCAGGTGAGCTACGCAATGTGACCAGGCACCCGCGCGGCGGGAAGTGACCGGAATGCTGTACTACCCGCACCTAGGGGTGCGGGGCGCGGCTCTCTGCGCCAGCCCCACCGATCCCGGGAAAGCTCCCAGTTCGGGTTCCAACACTTGCGCAGGTGAGGCCAGGCAGGGCAGAGCGGTCCACGCTCGGGAACTTTGGTCTTCACCCTCCCCCGCGATCCACGTTGCCATGGCTACTGCCGCTAAGCGGCCTGTCCCTCCCCCTACGGAGAAAGGGTTGAGCCCCCGCCCTAGGCAAACGCAGAGTCCGCGGGGCTGGAATGCGGGGTCCCCGGCGGCTCAGGGCCGCGCGCCCGGCTCTCCCGGCTGCTTCCGGCCTGGCCCGGCCGCGGGCGGGGGGAGGGCGGCCCGGCGGGCAGGGGGGGAAGGAGCGGAGCCGGGCCCGGCCGACGCGGCTTTGTCTCCTTTGTTCCCGACCGTGGCAGCGCCGCGGCGGGAGGGGAGGGCAGCGGGCGCAGTTTTCCGCCCCTCGGTCTCCGGGTAACAGCTGAGGCTCCGCCAGACCCACCTCTGCGGGGGGAGGCCGCAGGGCGCAGATCCCAAGCCTGGAGCGGCCGGCGCCCGCTTCGGCGCGCACATCTCGCAGGGCCCGGCCGGGTGGTGAGTGCAGGGCTTGGGGCGGGGACAGCGAGGACCCAGGTTCCCAAAGTGAGACAGCCTGAGGCCTTGATCCCGCCGGCAGGGGCAGCCTGGGTGAGTGGTGGGCGGCTTCAGTCTTCAGAGTTGGGAATACACTTCTCCTCACGAAGGGAAACTTCGGCGGCTCCGCCTGTAACGCGATTGGGAGACTGAGGAGGTGGAGCTGTTCCTCCGCGCCCCCTCCTCGCCACTGCCGCTGGGGACCGGCCGGCCCCTTCCCCGCCCTCCCAGGGCCTGTGGTGGGGTCCTTGCCCCGCGGGTAAAGCTGTTACTCTCAGTAGTAACAGCTTTTCCTTGCTGTGCCCGGCGGGACTGACAAAGGCAGACCTCGAGACTCCCGTTGCCTAGAAGGGGATCATACACTGACACATTCATGGGTGATTGATGAGCGCCTTGGGTCATCACAGGTGCCTGGTAAATGGTGGATCTCCCCACCCCACCTTAACATACAGAAAACAGGCCCGGCAGGGTGCACTATTGCATTGTCAATGAGTAACTCACCTCTTTGGTGGACGCTGGGAGTTAGCAGGATGTGGGGAAAGGAAGGCCAGTTTCCCACTAACTACCAGACAAGGTAAATGTGAGTTGTTGTATGGCCTCTTTGCAGGTATGAAAGGGGGAAGTTAGTGAACCCCTTTGGTTGGTGAGGACAGCTCAAGCCGAGTCTGGGAAGTGCTTGCTCTGCAGACAGATGTTAGTCAGTCTTGAAGAGATTCAGAGAAGGTGGGCCCAGAAGAGACCTCCTAACCAGAGTTAGGCTTTGGCTGTGAGCCTGGACTGGGTCTGAGATTTGGAGAGTGGGCAAGAGATCCTCATGCAAGTTGGGGATGGAGGCCTGGCTCTAAATCAGCCTTTCAGTGGGTTCTGGCCTGTCATTAATAAAAGCAAGGCCAGGCTCGGCGCCTGTGGCTCAAGCAGCGAAGGCGCCAGCCACATACACCTAAGGTGGCGGGTTCGAATCCCCAGCCCGGGCCGCCAAACAACAATGACGGCTGCAACCAAAAAATGGCCAGGCGTTGTGGCGGGCGCCTGTGGTCCCAGCTACTTGGGAGGCTGAGGCAGGAGACTCGTTTGAGCCCAGGAGTTGGAGGTTGCTGTGAGCGTGATGCCATGGCACTCTACCCAGGGAGATAGCTTGAGGCTCTGTCTCAAAAAAAAAATAAAAAATAAAAGCAAGGCCAAATGCCTTGCCCTTCAAGAGGCCAAGTAGCTTGGAGAAGGATGTGAGCCCCATTATCTCCTTTGGTGGCTGGGTTTCCTCAGCTGTGAAATGGGGGTTAATCTACTATGCAGGGAACACTTACTTTGTGCCAGCATCTGTGTAAGTTATTGGGGCCTCTGCATCAAAAGCCATACTCTTTGGCTTCAAGGTGCTTCAAGTCCAGAGTAGGATTGCAGAATAGGGAGAAAGGTGATCTCGGTTGGTGCCACTAGTGCCAGGAACACACTATATCCCTTTCACTGGTCAGAGCAGTCCTGCCTCCTGTTCTACAATGGGAAATCTGAGGCTCAGAGAGACCAAGGCAGAGCTGCTATACACTCCCAGGTGGTGGCTAGATACACGTCCATTCTGTCCACCACATGAGTGGCCTCAGGAGTCTGTGAAGAAAGGGCAGGCTCCATGGTGAGATGGTGGTAGGTGTAGGAGTTAATAGAATAGAGAGGGAGTGGGCATTCCAGGCAGTAGGAAGAGCCAGTGGCAGCTGGAGGAGTGAAACAGCCTATATTTCATGCTGGCAGCAACGAAGGGCATGTGTGGGGAGCACTGGCATGAATCATGTGGGAGAGGTGTGAACTGGAGGACCCTGGGGTGCCCCAGAGTCTCTGTAGGGAAAGAAGTACTCTAATTCTGCTCAGTGAAGATCCTGTGAGGTTTGATAAAGGCTAGGTAGGGGCTTGGGGCTGCTCTGTGGCTTGTGGCAGAGGTTAAGTGAAATATGTTTGCCCAAAACAGGGAAGAACAGGTCACTGCCCTTCTTACTTTCCTCCTCCCCTATCCATGGCATGTGGAGAAGGAGAAGGAGAATAGAGGCCAGGCCCTGTTTTAGGGGAGGACAGTGATTGAAGAAGCTGGAGGTGTAGATTACCCTTTGACCTCCTATGTGGCCTGACCAGGGGCTGTTCTGATCCTGCCCATCTCTTCGTGGATGGAGGCCCCTCAGTCCAGTTCTGATTTCACATTTGAGTAGTGATTTTGTTGTTGCCCCTTGAGAGCTGGAGATCCTTGGCAAGCAGTAGGCTTTAAGCAAATATTTGTAAGCAAATGAAGTAGTAATTGTTGGTCTAACTGTGGGACCCTCTGCCCAAGGCACATCCCTGACATGGGGTGGCAGGAGTAGTGCACAGTGGCCAAGTGCAGGAGGTAGCCTCTGCCTATCCTTAGGTGGGCCTTGTCTTTCCAGAGGAAGAAACTTTCTTTCCTTGTCCCTTGGAAACTAGGTGGGGGGCTCCTGGGCACCCTGGCTTTGCCACAGTCCGAGATTCTGGCCGGGTTCAAGACTTTCCCTGCTGCCCCTCTACCCCCGCCCCCTTGGGTGGCAAACAGAGGCGGCCTTGTTCCTGCTCCCATAGAGCTGCCCTGTTCTCTGCACACTAAAAATGGAAACCCCCAAGCTATTTTGGGAGCAGTGCCCAGCCAGGCTATGGCCACGGCCCCCCTGCTCCCACAGAGCTGTGGCCACAGCATCCCTGTTCCCACTAGACTGTTGGACCCTCCTTTGAGCCTTGTGTCCAGTCCTGCTCACTTCAGGGCAGCCACAGGAGTACCCTGCTCAGGCTCCTGCTGGGATGAGCCAACCTGGGCTGAGAAAAGCGAGAAGCAAGCGCTTGGGATGTTCTGCACAGACAGCCTGGCAGCTGGGTGGTGGGAGGGGCAATGTGGCCTGAGCACAGGCAAGTAGGGGAGCTCCCGTAGCTCCCAGTCTGGGATGAGTGGTTTGTCCCAATACTACACCAACTTTGGTGCTCCTGGCTAGAGACCACTGAGGGCTGGGGTAGGTAGTGTTGCTGTGGTTTCTTAGTTCTGAGACTCAGGAGTATCATCTGGGACCTAAGAAGGGGTCTGTGAGGGTAGCAGGCATCCAAAATCTGTGGATGGATGTGGGGATGGGAGGCACAGCCAGGCATGGTGGCTTCCTTTAGGAAATCCCCACACACACACCCACACACACCTAATCTCATATCCTAGGTGCTGGCACTTACTCAGGCCAGCGGGAGAGGAAATAGCAAGAGATGGCCTGGCTTCCACAGCTGTGCAGGACTTGGGGCTCAAACTAGGAAGTGTGTGTGTATGGTGTATATGTCCCTGGTGGGTGGAGGTAACATGCCTGTGCAGGATGTGTTTCTGTGTGTGCGGAGTTGTCTCCATTTGAATGTGTCTTTATGTGGTATCTGAACATGGGTGGTGTGGCTGTGTTTCTATGTTTGTGTGTTGCTGTGTGTACAGCTTGTATCTGTACGCATCTGTGTGTGTGCCAGTGCCCATGTGTTTGTGTGTGTGCAGGGTGGGTGATATGTGTGCGAGTGCATATCTGCCGATGTGGTGTGGCCATTTGAGCTAGAACAGACCCTGGCCTGTGCGGAAGGGGATACACTCGGGTGGGCACCTTGACAGGGTGGAGTTTGGGCAGAGGGACATGCTGGGGGACCTGACTGGGCCTTGTCGGCTGTGGGGCTCCTTCCTAACTGACCTTTCCCAGGCCCCTTGGGTGCCTGGCTCTGCTGCCCTCCCCCTCCTCGTGTGGGCTCTGAGGAGGCGTGCTCTGTGGAATGTGTTTGGTGGCTGAGGGCCAGGCTGGGCCCAGCTTCACCAGCAGGCTGGGTGATGGGGAGGGGGCACTTTTGTGCTGCCTCTCAGTGGGGAGCTCAAGGCTCCCACATGCCTGCAGACCAGCCTCCAGCTTGATACTTTGCTTTCCTCTGGCTAGGTGACTCCCACACAGGTCATGCTGTTGTCTCCTGATCTAGCCAGCCCTGCCAGGTGAGCCTGACCTCACACCTAGGGATCTAGGAGTACATGACCCCCCCACCTGTGCTGGGGGCTCTCTGAGGTGGCCCCACACCTCCCAGCTGGACCCTCCCTCTTCTCTCAGACCTATCGGCTCTGTGGTTATTACCCTTCTAGATTCCTGGCCTGAAAGGCTCTATACCCCATTCTTGTCTTGCTCTAACATTCTGGTGGCCCATGAGACCTCACTACCCTCTTCCGTCTGCTCCGGAAGATGACCTCCCTGCAGAGAGCCTTCTCTCTCCTGGGTGTCTGGGCTTTTCCTTCCGGTCGCCTGCTCTCTAGTGGCTTCTAGGCCCTGCTCTCTATGGATGGTCTCATGGGCTGATCCTTGTGGTAGTACAGGGCAGTGCAGGGGTGTGGATGGAGTAGGGTGCAGATCCCCGAAGAAAATGGGCACTGTTGAAGTTCCCAGGGGAAGTGTCTCCTCTTTTTGATCCCTGGCTGGTGTGTGGTCCTGGGGCCCTTTTCTACTCACCCGTTGGGTTAGGAGGGGCTTCTTGGTAACATTATAGCCCTGTTCCTCACCAGTAGCTCCAGGGTACTTTAGTGGCCCTGTAAGCCCCACTCAACTTCTCTCCCTGCTAGGTGACCATGGCTGCTCTTGGCCCAGTTCTTCTCCAGGCTGTCTGGGCTGGGTGGGTCCTCACCCTCCAGCTCCCTCCACCAGCTGCTTTTACTCCCAATGGTACACACCTGCAGCACCTGGTGAGGGACCCCACCTCAGGTACCCTTTACCTGGGGGCCACCAACTTCCTGTTCCAGCTGAGCCCTGGGCTGCAGCTGGAGGCCACAGTGTCTACTGGCCCTGTGCTAGACAGCAGGGACTGCCTTCCGCCTGTGATGCCTGATGAGTGCCCCCAGGCCCAGCCTACCAACAACCCGAATCAGCTGCTCCTGGTGAGCCCGGGGGCCTTGGTGGTGTGCGGGAGTGTCCACCAGGGGGTCTGTGAGCAGCGGCGCCTGGGGCAGCTGGGACAGCTACTGCTGCGGCCAGAGCGGCCTGGGGATACCCAGTATGTGGCTGCCAATGACCCTGCGGTCAGCACTGTAGGGCTGGTAGCCCAGGGCTTGGCAGGGGAGCCCCTCCTGTTTGTGGGACGAGGATACACCAGCAGGGGTGTGGGGGGTGGCATCCCACCCATCACAACCCGGGCCTTGCGGCCACTGGACCCCCAAGCTGCCTTTTCCTATGAGGAGACAGCCAAGCTGGCAGTGGGCCGCCTTTCCGAGTACAGCCACCACTTCGTGAGTGCCTTTGCCCGTGGGGCCAGTGCCTACTTTCTGTTCCTGCGACGGGATCTGCAGGCTCAGTCCAGAGCTTTCCGTGCCTATGTGTCTCGAGTGTGCCTCCGGGACCAGCACTATTATTCCTATGTGGAGTTGCCTCTGGCCTGCCAGGGTGGCCGCTACGGGCTGATCCAGGCTGCTGCTGTGGCTACAACTGGGGAGGGGGCCCATGGGGAGGTGCTCTTTGCAGCCTTCTCCTCAGCTGCTCCCCCCACTGTGGGCCGGCCTCCGTCAGCAGCTGCTGGGGCAGCTGGAGCCTCTGCCCTCTGTGCCTTCCCCCTGGACGAGGTGGACCGGCTTGCTAATCACACACGCGATGCCTGCTATACCCGGGAAGGCCGTGCAGAGGATGGGACTGAGGTGGCTTACATTGAATATGATGTCAATTCTGACTGTGCACAGCTGCCAGGGGTGAGTTCCAGCACTGCCCCAGCCTTTCCCCTTTTCTGAGGCTACAGGCCAGGCATTGTAGCCAATCAGCTGCTAAGGGAATCTGAAGGGAAGCTGGCTGACAGATACTAAGTTTTTCCTTTTTGCCTGGAGTGATGGAAAGAACCTTACCATAGGTATGGCATTTGAGTAGCAGAGAGCAGTACCAGGATAGGATTGGACCCAGGTACTTAAGGGGTGGCACTAGTGTAGGACCGAGAGGGCAGAGTATCAAGTAGGGACAGGGACCCAGAATGTAGGGATGAGGCCTGTTTTAGGTTCTTGAGCAAGAGAGGAGGGTAAGGTTGGGGCTTGATTAGCTATAACCTCAGGATGGATTAAAAAGGGAAGAGGAGGCACACAGGGGACTGAGTCACTGAGAGGTGAGAGAAGGTCCCATGAGTGGACTTGGAAATGAAGATGTTCCCTGCGTGGTGGTCCAAGAGGAGGCTGACTACACAGCAGCATGCAGGCTGCTCCCTGCATGGTGGTCCAGGAGAAGGAGGGGCCATAAGTAGAGGTAGACATCAGAAGAGGGGCAAGGAACCATTGGAAACCATCTGAGGCAGCTGGAGGTCAGACCAGTGCAGTAGGATTAAGGATGTGGCTATGGGAGGATTATCAGGGAGGGCAGGCAGAGAGACTAGGGGTGGGGTGAGGTGTCCAGGGAGGATAGGGCAGGGGAGGTTACCCACAGGAGGACTCACTGATGTGTCTTGCTGCTTATAGGATACCTTGGATGCTTATCCCTGTGGCTCAGACCACACACCCAGCCCCATGGCCAGCCGGGTCCCACTGGAAGCCACGCCAATTTTAGAGTGGCCAGGGGTTCAGCTAACAGCTGTGGCAGTCACAATGGAGGATGGACATACCATCGCTTTCCTGGGTGACAGTCAAGGGCAGCTTCATAGTGTAAGCCCACAGAAAGTACTAGGCCTAGAGGGCATAGGATGCTGGGAATCCAGCCTGGTTGGAGCTATCCCTGCAACCCCTGGGGCTGGGAGAGATGACTTGCGCTCCTCTTCCCAGGACTGGGTAGTCTTTACCTGTGACTTCCTTCTAACCTCTGGGCTGATTGGTAGTGAGAGGAAATTCTCTCTGTAAATTTCTTCAATGGTGGTGAGTAGGAGAGGGCCTTGGGCCTGTGGCTATGGCCTTGGGTCCCAGACCCAGTGGTCTCTGATTCTAGGTCTACTTGGGCCAAGGGAGTGATGGCCACCCATACTCCACACAGAGCATCCAGCAGGGTTCTGCAGTGAGCAGAGACCTCACCTTTGATGGAAGCTTTGAGCACCTATATGTCATGACCCAGAGCACAGTGAGTGCCAGGCACGAGCCAGTGCATGGGTGTTTGGAGGAACCACTGGGCCGGGCTATATGTGGTTGATTGAGCCACTGGTGTTTGCATTTCTGACCTCAGATCCTCTTTGCTGTCACAGCTTCTAAGGGTTCCTGTGGCCTCCTGTTCTCAGCACCTGGACTGTGCATCTTGCCTTGCCCACAAGGACCCATACTGTGGGTGGTGTGTGCTTCTTGGCAGGTTGGTGCTCCACTGACCCTGACCCCTCCCAGCCCTATTCTCATGCCCTCAGGATCTCTGATTCTGGGCCCTTGATTCTCAGCCCCTGATCCCTAGATCCTATAATCCCTCACCCCCATCTTCTTCCCTGAGTATCAATGGCCTGCCAGGGCGGACAAGAGGAGTCTGATGCCATGACCCACTCTAGGGTCCTGCCCAGGTCTTCAGGATTGTCAGAGTTCCTGCTCTAATAACTCTCAGTGGCCTCATGAAGGACATGGGCAGACACTGGTTATTCTTGTTCAGGTGTAGTCGCCACTCTGAGTGCTCAAGGGGCCAGGGCCCAGAACAGTGGCTGTGGAGCTTCCAGGCTGGGCTGGGCTGTCTGCGAGTGGCAGCCCTGAGTCCTGCCAACATCAGCCGAGAGGAGAGGAAGGAGGTAAAGGCTCAGATAGGTGGGACCCTGGTGGGGAGGGCTCTGGGGATCAAGGTCTGGGTAGAGATTACGGTGTCAGCTACACCAAACAGCACATGACCTTGCGCAAGTCACTTCTTTTGGGACTTCAGTTTTTCCCTCTGTTACTAACTCAAGACTGAAGGTGTTCGTGAAAGCAGGGGCTGGTGGCTGCTGGTGCCTGCCCACGTTGCTGCCCCACAAATATGAGTCCTAGTCTGCTGCCCAATAGCCTTGACAGTGTGTTTTGGGTTTTCTTTGTAGATTTTCCTATTGGTGCCAGATCTGCCACCCCTGTGGCCAGGGGAGTCATATTCCTGCCATTTTGGGGAGTATCAGAGTCCTGCTCTGCTGACCAGTTCTGGTGTGATGTGCCCCTCCCCAGACCCTAGTGAGGCCCTATTGCTACAGAGAGGAGCCGGTGAGTGAGAGAAGAGGCGAGCCCTGGAGTTTGGGAGCCCCACCCTGCTCCCAGAGATGTGGTCAGGGTAATGTGTGAATCCACGCAAGGAGTCCTGAATTAATACCTTTCTCTGAGGCCTCTCACTGGTCCCCAACTGCCCAAAGTCTCTATTCTGTGCCCTGTGGACTGTGTTCCTGACCCTGGGTTCTCTTCCCCATTTGGCATGTCAGGATGTGGGCTATGAGCACGCCTCCCCACTGCTCAGCTCCAGCCCTCTCTCCGCCTTTACAGACCATGTCTCTGTGACTGTGGAGCTCAGGTTTGGTACCGTTGTGATCGCCCAAGCTTCCCTCTCTTTCTATGACTGTGTGGCAGTCACTGAGCTCCACCCATCTGCACCGTGAGTTCCTTGCTTTGTACCCTAGCCCTGAGCCCTGCCTTGGTGAGCCCTGCCCCACGGCTGTGCTCTGTGCAGGTGCCAGGCCTGTGTGACCAGCCGCTGGGGGTGTAACTGGTGTGTCTGGCAACACCTATGCACACACAAGGCCTTGTGTGATGCTGGACCGATGGTGGTGAGCCAGCAGGTGAGCGCACCTCTAGGCTGGGGCACCAAGGGGGTTTGGGGTTCCCACTGTGAGGGTTTTTCTGATGGCTGGGGGTCTGTATGTGATAGACTCACTGGAGAATGGCCACTGATACGTCCTGCCTGTTTTAGGAGAGGATGTTTGTAGCTGAGTGAGAGGCAGGGCAGGTGTGGCCTTTGTGCCCTTCCTCAGCACAGACACCCCTGGAGCCTGCCCCCTCCCTTTTCTCCTTTTGAGAATTAATGGGCTGTTTTTGTTTCTTTTTTCCTTGGTCTCCTTTCCTCTTAACATACCCTTTGCCTGCCTGCCTCCTGCTCCCGCACCTGCCTGCTGAGTGGCCCTTCCTGTCTTTCCCTGCCTCCTACTTCAGAGCCCGCTTCTTTCCCTAGCCCCTCCTACAAGAGATGCACCCACCTCCTTCCCACCCACAGCCCCCAAAGTCCTGGTCACCCCTGCTCCTGATACCCTTCCTGTAGCACCTGGGGCTTCCTCTATAGCCATAGCCTCAGATGTCCCACCTGGGGCCAGGCCTTCCCCACTCAGCCCCTGGGGACCATGGTCAGGTCCCGGCTCCATGCCTTCCCCCATCTCCACAGAGTCACCTCTCCAAGAGAAGCCCTCCCTTCCTAGCTCCCCCAATAGACCTGGAACCATTGTCCCTGCTCCTGCTGACTTTGGACCCACAGCCACACCTGAGGACCTCTTAGTGGCCCCTCCATCACCTTCAGATGCAGCAGTGCCCCCTGCAGACCCTGGCCCTGAGGCCCTTCCCACTGTGGTGCCCCTGGACTGGCCCCCTGGCACTGCTCCTGCCACCCCTTTCCCAGGGGCTGTGGGCTCCACGAAGCCCACCCTGGACTGGCTCATGAGAGAAGGCGGCGAGCTGCCCGAGGCGGACGAGTGGATGGGTGGTGATGCGCCCACCTTCTCCACTTCCACCCTCCTCTCAGGTGATGGAGACTCAGCAGAGCACGAGGGCCCTCCTGCCCCCCTCATCCTCCTATCCAGCCTCGACTACCAGTATGACACCCCCGGGCTCTGGGAGCTGGTGAGGCCCAGTCCAGGAAGGAGGCCTCAGGAGGGGATGGGGGGAAGACATAGCCCCTTGCTTGCCTTGCCCTTCTGCATGGGGTGGGGGGAAACAGGCTGCAGCCCCGCATTGGCCTTGCCCCTAGAATCAGTCAAGGCAAAGGACTGAGGTGGGCAGGGTGGCTCCATAGACTCCCTTGCTCTTGGTGCCTGCAGGAAGAGGTGAACTGGGGGGCAAGCTCCTGCCCCTGTGTGGAGAGTGTTCAGGGTTCTGTGCTAATGCCAGTCCACGTGGAGCAGGAAGTCCGGCTGATAGGCAGGAACTTGCACCTTTTCCAGGTGGGTGAGTCTGGCCTGCCACTGTTCTTGCAGCCTCCTTGGCTATTGGCAAATTATACATAAGCTCTGGGACCAGGAAGAGGGCATGGCCCCAGGGCTCAATCCCAACCCAGAGGCTGAGCTGGGGGATTTGTGGGACTCACCAGGGCCAGCTCTTGAAGCTGCCCTAACAGCTGTGTCCTCTGTTCCTAGGACGGTCCAGGAGACAATGAGTGTGTGATGGAGCTGGAGGGCCGAGAGGTGGTAGTTGAGGCCCGGGTTGAGTGTGGGCCACCTCCAGATAGCCAGTGCCACGTCACGTGCCAGCAGCATCAGGTGCAGACCATGAGTGCCTGGTGGGCAGGGCGTCCTGGCCACAAGCTGGCTTAGCTGGCTGCACTACACTTGCCCAAGCGAGTTCCCCATCTCTAACCTCTGACTGCCCCATGGGGTCCCTGTGTCTCAGCTCTGACATCGAATTTGAGAGCTCATGGGGTCCCTACACACCAGTTCTGCCTCTAACCTCCAACCTTGTGACCCCATAGAGTCCTTGCACCCCAACTCTGATCTCTGACTTTGTGTTCCCATAACTAGTCATTTTGGTCCTTTCTCTGACTACCTCCTCCCCAGAGCTGATATACCCTCTTCCCCCGGGGCTCTGACTCCTCTGTCGTTTCTTCAGCTCAGCTATGGGGCTCTGCAGCCGGAGCTCCGTGTAGGGCTGTTTCTGCGTCGGGCTGGTCGTCTGCGTGTGGACAGTGCTGAGGGGCTGCATGGTGAGCTCTCTGGGGGTGCTGGGGCTGGCTGCTGGTGGCAGGGTTACCTCTTTCACATTTGTCTCTGCCACTCACATTTGTCTCTGCCACTTCCAGTGGTACTGTATGATTGTTCCGTGGGACATGGGGACTGCAGCCGCTGCCAAACTGCCATGCCCCAGTATGGCTGTGTGTGGTGTGAGGAAGAGAGTCCACGTTGCGTGGCCCAGGAGGCCTGTGGCGAGGCTGAGGCTGTGGCCACTCAGTGCCCTGCGCCCCTCATCCACTTGGTGTGTTGAAAGACTATCTCTCTTCACTGTTGCCCTGGCAGGGAGAGTACAGGTGGCCAAGGGTGGGAGGCTGGAGCTGCCTCTTGAGGTGGGTAGAGATAAGCAGTCTTTGTCCTGGAACAGGTGGAGCCACTGACTGGACCTGTAGACGGAGGCACTCGTATCACCGTCAGGGGCTCCAACCTGGGCCAACATGTGCGGGATGTGCTGGACACTGTCAGGGTGGCTGGAGTGCCCTGTGCTGTGGATGCCCAGGAATACGAGGTCTCCAGCAGGTGAGCTGGACCTAACAGGAGCAGGGCACACTTTTTAGGGCTCCATGGTTGGCTTTCTTGCTCCGGGTTCTCCACCCATTACTCTTCTGCCCTCCCCCTCTTCCTCCATCCTTTATTCTGATCACAATGCCTCATTGCTGGGGTCACCATTAGGCCCTAGAGCACCCACCTACCTTGGCTTCCTGCTTGGACCTGCAGATTCATTGCCTGAGATGAGATGTTGGAGGTTGATTCCTGCATCTTTCTGGGGCAAGGTCACTGCCCAGAGCTGATTGGTGGCTCTGCTTAGGTGTTCTTACCTGGGTTCTGAGTGACTATTGATGTAATCATGGCAGCACGGTCCTCACATCCCAGACAACTGTATTTAGGGACTTCTGTTCTCACCAACTAACACTTTGTCTCCAGAAACTACCCTAGGCCACTGAGCTCCTCAGAAGGGTAAACACGTGCTGAGAGCCAGGCTCCTCTGTCCCAGCCTTTGGGGATCCCTACTGCCTTCTTGGAGCTTATGGCTCACTGAGATTCTGGATCATGGTAACCTGGCCAGCAGTTGTAGGGTGGCAAAGGTACCTGAATGGGACATTCTCAAGAAGGTATCCACAAGCAGCAGGGCCCAAACCTGGCGAAATGTCAGGATAACCTGAGCAGAGAACAGATCCTTAACTCCACCTCAGAGATCTGGATTCAGGGGGCTTATGGTGGGACCCCACAATCTGTATCTGAAACAGAGAATCACTTTGCTAGAGCATGGAATTAAGACTATAGTAATTTATGAGGTGATTTAGAAAGGGATTAAAATATATTCTGGACCAAGCTCCCCGGGTAGTCACACATCACTTGTTCTGTTTTCCTGGAGTGTTTGCAGTGACTGTGATGATATCATGGGGTCAAGCCACTGTAGGCTTAATATTCTGGAAACTAATTTGCCTAAGTTTCTGTTTTCTGGCTAAGAAACCAGTATTTTCTTAGATTATTCACTTTCTCTTTAATTCTATCCCCAGATCAGGGACTTTTTTTTGGAGACAAAGTTTTACTATGTTGCCCTCAGTAGAGTGCTGTAGTGTCACAGCTCACAGCAACCTCAGAGTCTTGGACTTAAGCTATTCTCTTGCCTTAGCCTCCCAGCAGCTGGGACTACAGTCGCTGCCACAACACCCGGTTATTTATTTATTTTTTAGAGACAGAATCTCATTATGTCACCCTCAGTAGAGTGCTGTGGCATCACAGCTCACAGCAACCTACAACTCCTGGGCTTAGGCGATTCTCCTGCCTCAGCCTCCTGAGTAGCTGGGACTACAGGTGCCTGCCATACCACTCAGCTATTTTTTGTTGCAGTTTGGCTGGGGCCGGGTTCAAACCTGCCACCCTCTATATGTGGGGCTGGCACCCTACCCACTGAGCCACAGTTGCTGCCCAACACCTGGTTATTTTATGTTGCATTTGTCATTGTTTTAGCTGGCTCAGGCTGGATTCGAACTCGCCAGCCTTGGTGTATGTGGCTGGCACTGTAACCACTGTACTATGGGCACTGACCCAACTTTCAGGGACTTTTTTTTTAAATGAAGAAATCGAGTTTCTCCCACTTTGAGAGCAGGTGCTGTACATGTGGCCATGGTGGAAGACTGAGGTGGCTGGCTGGGCCCACTCACTGGCTCAGCAATACTCCCCCACAGCTAGCCTTATAGGGCTCCTTTGTAAATTTATGCCACAACTCAGATAAATTCCTCCTTGTTGGGGGCCTCTGGGGTTGAACTTGAATTACTGAAACCACAAATATTCTCGGATGCCAAGGCCGCCTTCTATGCCATGAGGAATTCCCTCCAAAGTGAGAGAGTCTTTATCCATTTTGTGGAGGGTGGGAAGGGGAAGATCACCTGTCAGAGGGGTGGGGAGAGGGGCTGCCAGGTCTATTTGAGGAGGCCCTTGTGCAGCCTGGCACCATTTAGCCTGCTTTGTGCCCACAGCCTCGTGTGCATTACTGGGGCCAGTGGAGAGGAGATGGTGGGTGCTGTGGCAGTGGAGGTACCAGGAAGAGGACGTGGCATCTCAGAGCATGAATTTGCCTATCAGGTACCTGACTGTTGAGCTATCCCCAGCTGCCAGTGGGCTACTCTCTCTGGTGGCTCTGCTCAGCCCATCTGGACATAGCCATGTCTAAGTCGGATAACATTCTGCATGCTAGAATGTTATCTTCACAAGCTCCCCACCCTAGTTCTTCGTATCTATCTCAGTCTCTCTGTTTCTGGGATGCTTTTGCCCTCATGCTTGTCTGTCCTTGTTCCCCTTTCATAGGATCCAAAGGTGCATTCTATCTTTCCGGCCCGTGGCCCCAGAGCTGGGGGAACCCGCCTCACCCTGCATGGCTCCAAGCTCCTGACCGGGCGGCTGGAGGACATTCGAGTAGTGGTTGGAGACCAGCCTTGTCATTTGTGAGGGCCACTTCCTCTTCCTGAAAAAAATCAGTGTACTCCGGGGAGAAGACTGAGGGGGTGGGGTGCTGGGGAAAGCAGAGGGCTGGGGAGGTACCCTGTCTGCTCCATCAGAAAGTGGCCTCTCCTCCCTCCCTAAGCCAGGCTGTTGTGGGAGTGCCCCTCTAGGGCCACCTGGTGGAGGAGATTGCAGTTAGTACCAAAGGGAAGTGAGCTGAGGCCTGAGTGGGCCCAGGTTTTCTTTGCCTATGCCCTTCTGGCCCAACCTGGCTGGCTGTCCACTCCCACCTCCCGTTCCCAGGCTGCTGGAGCAGCAGTCGGAGCAGTTGCAGTGTGAGACGAGTCCACACCCTGTGCCTGCCATGTTCCCTGTGACTGTGTGGTTTGGAGCTACTGAGAGGAGGCTTCAGCATGGCCAGTTCAAGTACACATCAGACCCCAATGTCACCTCTGCTGTCCCTACCAAGAGCTTCCTCAGGTGCTGAGCCAAGGGGTTGGCTGCATGGCACGTGGTGGGCAGATCTTTGCAGCTGCACTATGTTGAGGGGGTGGTTTGTAGGGCTTTATGTAGGGGCTGTGAATTCCATGCTGCTGGTAGGAATAAGGGGTCCTGTGGTTTGGGGCTGTGTTTCAGTGGAGGACGTGAGATATGGGTCCGTGGCCAGAATCTGGATGTGGTGCAGATGCCAAGAATCCGAGTGACCATGGCTCCAGGCGTGCAACAGTCCAGCCAGGGGCTTGGACGGAGACGCTGGGTGGTCCCAGAGATAGCGTGTTCCCCTGGAACCCCCTGCAGCAGTTATCACGTAGGACAACCGTGGCCATTCCCTGCTTATACTGAGCTAGCCATCACTCTCCTCACCTCCCACCATACCCTGTGGACAGCCGTGATGGCTGGTACCAAAGGCGGCCCTTCCCATCTTTGCGTAACCCCCTTCCCACATGGCCTCTCAGTTAACCCTCCTTTGTCTTTCATCACCCAGTTTGAGGAGCCATGCCATGTGAACTCTTCCCAGCTCATCCTGTGCCGTACACCTGCCCTCCCAGGCCTGCCTGATGACCCCTGGGTCCAGGTGGAATTTATCCTTGACAACCTCATCTTCAATTTTGCAACACTCAACCCCACACCGTTCTCCTATGAGCCTGACCCCACTCTTCAGCCCCTCAACCCTGAGGACCCCACCATGCCATTCCGGCACAAGCCTGGGAGTGTGTTCTCTGTGGAGGTACTGCTGCTACTTGGACATGGCTGTGTCCAAGACTTGGTTCTTTGTTGGACAGCACTGCTTTGTGTGGTGGAGAAGTCAGGACAACAGAGCAAGGCCCAGTGTGTGGGCATGGCTCCTATTCTCACTGTGGCGAGGGCAGAGGGGTTTGTGGGGAGTGCCTAGCCTAGCACCTGATAGAAGTTTAACTGCTTAGCTGGTGGCCTGGGTCTTGACACATTCCATGGTAGGTTCCTGAATGACCATGTGTAAAGGGGTGGTATGGTGTGCAGTAGGACCTGGGGCTGATCCCCAGTTGGCAGGTGGGCTCATGTGTTCTGGACAAATGCAGCAGGCAGTAGTAGGTGGGTGTTCAGGCCATAGGTCAATCCTCCATTACCCATCTGGTAAGCCATCAGACAGAGTAGGGGCTCTGGCTTTGCTAGGTGACTGGGTAGGATTTGGGGTCAGCTTTATGTTCTTCATATTTTTGGCTCTGGAAAAAAGGGTCGTGGGGAGCAGCTGGGAAACCATGTGACTCTTGGTCCCACGTGCAGGGAAAGCTATGCTGAGGTACTATTAGTCCTGCTCCTTACAGGGGGTGTTTTAGGGCCATCCTTCCCACATTTGGGGGATAGGACCTGAAAGAAGAGTTCTAAGTGACTGATCAGTTACCCTCTCTTCCAGGGAGAGAACCTGGACCTTGCAATGTCTAAGGAGGAGGTGGTGGCAATGATAGGGGACGGTCCCTGTGTGGTGAAGACGCTGACCCGGCACCACCTGTACTGTGAGCCCCCTGTGGAGCAGCCCCTGCCACGGCACTTTGCCACCCGAGAGGCACCTGACGCTTTGCCTGAATTCACAGTCAGTGGGCAGGCCCTGGGCTGGGCTGGGCTGGGGCGCTGGGCATGTGCAGAACCACTGCTCATAGGTGGCTCCACACATAGGTGCAGATGGGGAACCTATACTTCTCCCTGGGTCATGTGCAGTACGATGGCGAGAGCCCTGTGGCTTTTCCTGTGGCAGCCCAGGTGGGCTTAGGGGTGGGCACCTCGCTTCTAGCTCTGGGTGTCATCATCATTGTCCTCATGTACAGGTGGGTACAGCTAGATGTGGCTGGGTTGGGGCAGATTGTGGGATCTAGCTGGACTGGGAAGGGATAGACTGAACCAGGGGTCAACAAGCACTTTCTGTGAACGGCCAGAGAGTAACTATTTTAGGCTTTGCAGGCCAGGCGGTCTCTGTTGCAACTAACTCAACTCTGCCATTGTGTTATAAAAACAGCCATGGACAGTATGTAAACATGAGCATGACTATGTTCTAACAAATCTCTGTAAAAACAGGTTGCAGGGCAGATTTTGGCCTTCTTGTAGTTTACTGGTCCCTGGTCTGAGCTGTGCCGACAGGGATGGGTGGGTGTGATTTACTTGGAAATAGGCAGGCCAAATTGCTCTGGGCTAGGCCTTGGCTTGGCTGAGCATGGACTGATTAAACTGTGCAGACAAGGCAAGGTTGTGCTTGGGGCTGGGTCAGGCAGGCCTGGCCTAGAGGGACCCAACAAGGGCTTTGGCCTCATCCAGTTTCCCCTCCTGACTTTGGAGCTGAGCAGGAGGAAGAGCAAACAAGCCCTGAGGGACTATAAGAAAGTCCAGATCCAGCTGGAGAATCTGGAGAGCAGCGTGCGGGACCGCTGCAAGAAAGAGTTCACAGGTGAGGCCCCAAGAATACCCTTCAGGGTTCACCCATCTCCTGTCACAGGGGGTGGGTGCCCAAACCTGGCCTCTTCTGCTCAACAGACCTCATGACCGAGATGACTGATCTCACCAGTGACCTTCTGGGCAGTGGCATCCCCTTCCTTGATTACAAGGTGTATGCTGAGAGGGTCTTCTTCCCTGGGCATCGGGAGTCACCCTTGCATCGGGACCTGGGTGTGCCTGAGAGCAGACGGCCCACTGTAGAGCAAGGGTTGGGTCAGCTGTCCAACCTGCTCAACAGCAAGCTCTTCCTCACCAAGGTGCCCACCCCCACCTGGATCCTCCTCACTCTGTCTTACCCCTGACTGTGCTCTCCTGGCTGTGGTTTCTGAGTCTGCCCCTCCCTCCCGACCATATCCCCTCTCCATGGCTCCAGTTCATCCACACCCTGGAGAGTCAGCGCACCTTCTCAGCTCGGGACCGTGCCTATGTGGCGTCTCTACTCACTGTGGCGCTGCACGGGAAGCTCGAGTACTTCACCGACATCCTTCGCACCCTGCTTAGTGACCTGGTGGCCCAATATGTGGCCAAGAACCCTAAGCTGATGCTGCGCAGGTCTGTGGCTACTGGGGCTGGGTGGGCCGCAGACAGCTAGAGCTGGCACAGGGGCTCAGGTCTGGGGGTCTGTGGACTAGAGAACCCAGCAGCGCCCTGCTGCTGACTCTGCTTCCCCTTTCCTGTGTTCAGGACGGAGACTGTGGTGGAGAAGCTGCTCACCAACTGGATGTCCATCTGCCTCTACACCTTTGTGAGGGTGAGGGAGGCAGAGGGGCATGGGGCTCGAGTCCAGACAGGGGCAAGCCCTCTAAACCGCCACACCTCTGGTCTCCATGGTTTGCATGCTCGTGCTAGGGCTAAGACTCCCTTTCAGCTTGTCCTTAGTTACCATAAGCCTGTGTCCTGTCCCCTTCCTCAGCATTTGTCATGTCCCACACACCTCTACACCAACCTAGGGGCCCTAACTTCCTATACTCCCCCAGGACTCAGTAGGGGAGCCTCTGTACATGCTCTTCCGAGGGATTAAGCATCAAGTGGACAAGGGGCCGGTGGACAGTGTGACTGGCAAAGCCAAATATACCTTGAATGACAACCGCTTGCTCAGAGAGGATGTGGAGTACCGTCCCCTGGTGAGGGTGTGCGTGTGTGTGGTCTGTGCCAACCCTTCACCCTTACACATCCTCCCACCCTGGTGTCAGCATGTGGACATAGACCCACCTGACTTCTGGCTAGGCACTGGAGAGAGGTCTTCAGACTAGCTTAGCAGGAAAGAGGTTTGGACCAGAATTATAGGATAGGGCCCAGATGTGTCCCCAGGCTTGGGATGGAACCAGGGTAGGCACAACCAGGGTCTGAGAGGAGCTAGCCCTGATCTGGGCCATAGTCTGACCCTGTCTGCCTAACCATCTCAGTAGGGATGTACTATCGCCCACAAAGCCAGCACCACCATGGCAAACAGGGCAAATGCTTCTCTGGGTTGATTCCTGGCAGTTTTGCATGAGGGTTCCTTTGGAAAATCCTACTCAGGCTATGCTAAACCTTCTCCCATCAGGATGGGTGGGGAACATTTACTTTCCTCAGGCACCTCAACCTGACCAGCTCAGCCAGGAACTGGTTTTCTGCCATTTTCCTCATAGACGTTTACAAGTGCACCATGCTAGTTGCTAGGGTCAAGAGGGAGGAAGCTGCTGTCCCCAGGGGAGGCAGGCAAGTGAAGAGATAAGAATTAGGGATTTGGTGCTTGGGGATCAGAGGTAGTGGCTGCCTCTTGGCTTGTCCTTGCCCTTGGTCTTGGTCATCCTGAATGTACACAAACCCTGATGGTTCCTACATGTCCTATCTAGACTTTAAATGCGCTCTTGGCTATGGGCCCTGGGGCAGGAGAGGCCCAGGGCGTGCCTGTGAAGGTCCTGGACTGTGACACCATCTCCCAAGCCAAGGAGAAGATGCTGGACCAGCTTTATAAAGGAGTGCCTCTCACCCAGCGGCCAGACCCTCGCACCCTGGATGTTGGTAAGGGCATGGATAGCATTTGGGGACCTGAGCCATTGTTGGGCCTAGGATGTTCTGGGACCAGTCCTCATGGACAGCTTAACACCTTATCACCCAGGGTAGGTAGGATGTTGAGGATCACTCTCTGGTAAGGGGCCTTGCTCCTGGTTTTTGTTTTTGTTTTTTTTTTTGAGACGGAGCCTCAAGCTATCCCCCTGGGTAGATTGCCATGGCATCACAGCTCATAGCAACCTCCAACTCCTGGGCTCAAGCGAGTCTCCTGCCTCAGCCTCCCAAGTAGCTGGGACCACAGGCGCCCGCCACAACGCCCGGCCATTTTTTGGTTGCAGCCATCATTGTTGTTTGGCGGGCCCGGGCTGGGGATTCGAACCCGCCGCCTTAGGTGTATGTGGCTGGCGCCTTAGCCGCTTGAGCCACAGGCGCCGAGCCTTGCTCCTGGTTTTTGGAGAGGTTGAGTAGTGCTGCCCCTGAGGGAGGGGCCTAGGTCCCTGTGGAGGAAGATATGGGCTCCCCTGTGGGAAGTGTATCTGAGAAGCCTTGGACCAAGTCCTACCTTGCCCTTGCAGAATGGCGGTCTGGGGTGGCTGGGCACCTCATTCTGTCTGACGAAGATGTCACTTCTGAGGTCCAGGGTCTGTGGAGGCGTCTGAACACCCTGCAGCATTACAAGGTGGGAGGGGTGGAGGTTGGAGGAGGGGTGTGGTGGTGGTGGGGCTGGTGGAGGGATCACTAGCTGTGGTCAGCAGGTCCCAGATGGAGCAACTGTGGCCCTTGTCCCCTGCCTCACCAAGCACATTCTCCGGGAAAACCAGGATTATGTCCCTGGAGAGCGTAAGTACCGCTTCCCACCATAGTCTTCTGCCCTTGCTTTGCCTAGTCCTGGGTTTGGGGAAGGTCCTCTGGAGCTCAGAGCAGGCTTGTACCTATTTCCTTTCTGCCCAGAGATGTCCTCAACCAGGTGCCCCCAACTTGTGGGAAAGTTGGGAGGATGCAGGGTACCTGGGGAGGTGGCACCTGGTGAGGGGTGACAGTATGGGCTCTTGGCACAGGGACCCCAATGCTGGAGGATGTAGATGAGGGAGGCATCCGGCCCTGGCACCTGGTGAAGCCAAGCGAGGAACCAGAGCCACCCAGGCCTCGGAGGGGCAGTCTTCGAGGTGGGGAGCGTGAGCGAGCCAAGGCCATCCCTGAGATCTACCTGACACGCCTGCTGTCTATGAAGGTGGGACACCCAAGGCTGGGCAGGGCCAGGGGCAGGGATGGGACAGGCAGTGGGGTCTGGCTGTAGGTGGAATGGCCACTCATGGGATTTGGAGTGGTGTGGGGCTCACAGACCTCATATCAGAAGGTGTCTGAGGCTGGGCTGTCGCTAAGGTCCTTTTGCCAAGTGCCTCTTGCTGCTCTCCCCCTTCTCATAGGGTACCCTGCAGAAATTTGTGGACGACCTGTTCCAGGTGATTCTCAGCACCAGCCGCCCTGTGCCTCTTGCTGTTAAATACTTCTTTGACCTGCTGGACGAGCAGGCCCAGCAGCATGGCATCTCCGACCAGGACACCATCCACATCTGGAAGACCAATAGGTGAGGCAGGCTGCTGGGCCTCAGATGTGTTGGGGGGGGGGGCTCTCTCCTGCTTCCCCAACCCACTCCTTGGCTATGTCTGCCCCTCTGCAGCTTGCCACTGAGGTTCTGGATCAATATAATCAAAAACCCGCAGTTTGTGTTCGATGTGCAGACATCTGATAACATGGATGCGGTGCTCCTCGTCATTGCGCAGACTTTCATGGATGCCTGCACCTTGGCCGACCACAAGCTGGGCCGGGTGAGTGGGTCTGGGGTGACCCTGGGGGGCTGAGTGGGGATAGGACGGTGTGGGTTGGGGCTGGAGGTGGATAGTGCCAGGCTTTCTTGAGAATTTCAAGGAAGAGGGTTAGGGGAGACCTCTGACATCCTCAGGCCAGGATTTTTCCACAGGGGCTCCCTAGAAGGTGGCAATGTCTTAGTCTTAAGGGATGAGCAAGAGTAGGGAGCACTGTGTGCCAGTTCACAGGATTAAGACTTGGGCAGCAAGGCCAAGGCCACTGATCAGGGCTCACCCTGAGGGCAGCAGGAAGCCCCAGGAGGCCTGAGAGTGGGGGAGTTTTGTGGTCAGACCTGAGAGTTCCATGGAGCATCCTGGCAATGTGCTGTGGGCAGACTGGTGTGTGGGAGTCCAGAGAGGAAGCTGTGCCACCCTCTGACAAGCAGTGGCCAGGTTCAAGTTGGGCGAGAGGGTGTTGGGCAGGCAGAAGCGGTAGGTTAAGTGGGAGGGATAAAGAAGGAGAGGGTCACATGACCCGAGGGTCCTCGGGTCTCTGGCTGTGGTAAGCATAGGCTTGGAGAAGGTGAGCCTAATATGTGGGGGCCACCATGTGGTATCTAGGTGGAGATGTGGACTGTTCAATCCCAGAGCAACTCCAGGCTGCCTGGTGGATTTGGTTTCCTAGGGAGGTGGAGGTATCTGCCTCCAATACAGTGGAGCAGAGTGTAGGGGGTGCCAGGGTTATAGGGATATGTGGCATAGGGGAGCTGGGAGGCATGAAGAAGTGGTCTGAGCCATCTGGTAGCACAGAGATTGAGTCACAGTAGTCAAAGCTAAGAGTCCCATGACATGGGCATCCCCTGTATACCAGCAGAGCCCTTATGTGGATCTACACGTCCACAAGTGGGATCTGCTTAGCCCAGACCCTTGGAGCACAGTTGTGTTGTGATGTCTTCAGAGAGGCATATCTAGGACTCTCTGAAGAAATAAAATGTGAAGTTCCACCCCTTAGCACTGCCTTTTGGGCGCCATTTTTGTTGTTCATGCTCTCAACATTCTGCCTGCAAAGAGCTGAAAATCACAGGGCCACACCAGGACCCATGAGGCCCCCTCCAGGGCTGGCTGCTATGTTGAGACTAAGTTTTTTGTTGGACCTTCCCAGTATCTCCCCTTTCTACCAGAACAGCAAATGGCTCCTGGGTAGCTTAGGAATAATCCAAACCAGGAATGCCACAGTGCCCCCATGGGGTGCTGAGGAGAAAGCATGCATCCTGACCCTGTTCACTTCAAGATCTTCCCTACCTTTTCACCAGCTCTAGAATGAGGCAGAGGTCCTCGGAATAGAAGTATGGTGCCCAGAGTCCACGGTTGCTGGGAATTATGCCTGGGTGTATTAACTGACTTGAGAGACCTACTTCAAATCCTAGCTCAGCCACTCAGGAGTGAGGTGGTCTGTGGAAATTTACATAATTTTCTATGTCACAGTTAGCTGATTTTTAAAATGATTACATAGGGAATGAATATGCTTCCTGCCCAGCATGTGTGCCTGATAGAGCCAGGTGGAGGCACGCGGAGCTGAGCATTGACTTCAGAATTATCCAGGGAGGAACTTGATTGACATCAGACATGGGATGGGATGTTGATGGAGGGCAGGGAGCAGAGGATGCTCCTACAGAAGGAAGTGGGCTAGGGTGACCAACCAGCCTGGCTTGCCAGGACTGAGGGGCTTCCTGAGATGTTAGACCTCTAGTTTTAAAACTGAAACAGTGCTGGGAAACTCCGAACGGTCAATCACCCTATAACAGGGGCTCTCACCCTTCCTTCTTTCACTGCCTTCTTGCTGGCTTCCAGGACTCCCCCATCAACAAACTTCTATATGCTCGGGATATTCCCCGTTACAAAAGGATGGTGGAAAGGTACAGAGGGGCCTGGAGAGGGGTGGAGATCGGGGGGTATGTGCAGCTGAGGCCAGGGGTGGGCCCATTGTGGGCTGGGAGGAGTGGGTTTGTTTGCCTAGCAGCTGCCATGCTCTGGCTCTCTGGCAGGTACTATGCAGACATCAGAGAGACCGTCCCGGCCAGTGACCAAGAAATGAACTCTGTCCTGGCTGAGCTGTCTCGGGTAAGGCTCCGTTTGCTTCTTGGGTTGGGCACAAGTCTCCTGCCATAATAGTTCTGCCCCCATCACACTTGTTTCCTTGCAGCCATGTGGGCTGGTTGGGGCAAGATGCATACCATCATAAGTGCAGAGTGTTCCAACTGCTGTTGTAAAAGGCCAGGGCTCCCAACATCTCATTATAGAGCAGGCAGGGGACTTATCCTGGTGGCTGCCACTTAACCTGCCTCAGACCTTCTTGGGGCCTGTGGATGATAGATCCTAGCATTTGGCTGCAGGCCTACTTGGCTCTGCCTGCGCACGTCTTCCCACTGCTCTTCCTCAGCACTGTAGACATGGCCCGCCTACTCCTAAAACAGCACCAAAATGTAACTCCAGGGGAATTTATAAACAATGTTTCTGAAACGATGATGATGGTGGTGGTGATACTCATACTGCAATACTAATTGCAGCTACTATTTTGGAGTGTTGCTGTCAAGCCCTTGTGTGTCAATCTCTTTATGGGGTTCTTTGATTATCTCATTAGAATCCCCATAAGAGGCTCCGTGTCCGTAGCACAGTGGTTACAGTGCTAGCCAAATACACCGAGGGTGGTGGGTTCAAACCCAGCCCAGGCCAGATAAACAACTGCAACAAAAAAATAGCCAGGTGTTGTGTGGACACCTGGAGTCCTAGCTACTTGGGAGGCTGAGGCAAGAGAATCGCTCAAGCCCAAGAGTTTGAGGTTGCTGTGAGCTGTGACACTACGGCACTCTACTGAGGGTAACATAGTGAGACTCTTATCTCAAAAAAAAGAATCCCCATAAGAGCGCCACAGGTTAGGTGACATGACTCCATCGTCCAGATGAGGAAGTTGAGGCTCGAAGATGTCCCTATGGAGAGGCTTGAGAGTTGACCTCAGGAAGTACTTAAGTTAGACCAGAGCAGGATCATGCTGGGCTCATAGCCTACATGCAACATTTGTCATACTTGCCTCTATAATCATCTGAATGGCAGAGGATCCAGCCCAGAGTCTTGAGGAGAGCGTTAGACAGGCTGGTCCCCAGTGGAAATCCCAGCCCTTGCTGAAACTGCAGATCTGGGCTCTCTTCTTACCAAGGAAGCACTCTGCCCTACCCTGCCATAGCTGGGTATGCCTAGCCTGGAGTCCCTGGTCTGGGGGAAGGGGGGAGGGTCTCTGCTTCCCACTGCAGGGCTAGTTTGTCCTTTCTTCTACCTCTCAGGTTCCTCCTCCTTCTCTCCCTTCCCTGGGGTCCTGGGCCACCTCCATGGCTAGCTGTATCTCTCATCTTTCCACCTCTCATTTGGCCTCCCCTCTAGAACTATTCTGGAGACCTTGGAGCACGAGTGGCCTTGCATGAACTCTACAAGTATATCAACAAGTACTACGACCAGGTGGGAAGGCTGACCTTAGGATTCCCCTGGGAGCTGAGAGGATGGATGTGAGAGGGGGTCTGGCCCCATGACTCAGGGTGGCAGGCTCTAGGTCTCCCCTGGGCACAGTGTTGGGGTTTCCAGAAGTGTTCTTTAAGTGTGCCTCTTGGTATTGTCTGTGCTGTTCCTGTCCCCACACTCCCTATCCCAGCTCCTTGGCCCATGCATGGTGCTGGTGATTGAGGGCTAGGAGAATGGCCAGGGCCTGGAGATGGTATACAGATATGCTGGGAGGGACACAGCTGCACCCTCTTCCCTGCCCATGCCCCCACTCAGGCCCTGCCAGGGTCCAATGTCGGCAGTGTGTTGCACATGGCCACCTCTGCAGATGCAGGCCTAGCTGGGTTGCATAAGCCACGAGAGAGGAGGGTGTGGGCAGAGCACCAGGGTGGGTAAGGGTACAGCGGAACTACAATAGTTAGGGGGCTTTCTGGAGAACCCTGGGCTGGGCCTGAAGATCTGAGCACCCACTAGTCAGCCTATCGAGTGCCTGGTGAGATTGTCCACTCAGACATTTGTGTGGCACCAGCAACATGGCCAGTGCTATTAGAGATAAGGAACCTGGCTCATGGCCCACAGCCTTCCTTGGCATGGTCTGGGCTACAGGGTGGGGGAGTGTGTGTGACACAGTCACAGACAGACCCTCCTGGAGACTTGGTGGCCATGGCTGTGCTCCTAGTGCTGCTGCACTCTGTTTCCCCTGTACCTCTCATGGCAGCACCTGCTTGTGCTTATGATTGCTCATGTTTGATTAATGTCTATCTCCCTCTCCACATCTGTCGGTCATTACTGGGTCCTTGTTCCTTGTCGGGTACCTGCCCTATATATCTCAGGAAATGCCATTGTGCTAGGCGGGTAAGCATAGCTTCTGAGGGCTCAGTACAGAGTGAAGTGCTTCATTCCCGCCTTCCTAAGCCTTGAACTCCCACGGTGCCTTTGCTGTTAGTGTCCTTCCCACTGCCAAGGCCCTGAGGTCACAGGAAATAACTGAGGCAATTTACTGGGTTATTGGGACTCCTGCCTGAGTCGTGCAGCATCTTAGGAGGTCTGTTGAAGTCTACAGTAAACGTGGAGGCCACAGAAGTCTCCCCTGATGGCACTGGTCTCTATATTCCAGATCATCACTGCCCTGGAGGAGGATGGCACGGCCCAGAAGATGCAGCTGGGCTATCGGCTCCAGCAGATTGCAGCTGCTGTGGAAAACAAGGTCACGGATCTATAGGGACCTGGGAGCCCTGGCCTGCTGTTGCCTCAGCCCTGCCTGGGCAGCCTTGGAACCTCGAGAGAGAGAAACTACCTTCTTAGATGCCTGTAGTTGTTGACAAGCAGAGTTAGTGGAAGGTGACTCCTAGTCTCCTGGTGGCTCTAGCCTCAGCCCTGCTGGACCCACATCATATGCCTGGGGCCCTGACACTCATGGGGTAGTACCCAGCCTGCTCCCTGAGCCAAGCAACCCTATGGACCACTTCCTGTGTGCCACCGGTCTGCAGGGAGTTAGAGACTAAAGCCTTCCAGAGAGTGGCCGGAAAGGCCTCCAGGCCCATGGGGAGACTGTACTGTTCATCATTACTGGCCTGTGTCCCACTGGGATTCAGAGAAGGAGGAAGAGAGCCCCATACTTCCTGTCCTCTGTCATCCCTGACCTCAGTTTAGCTGCCTCTGGCCTTGTTGCTGCTGCCACATCCTAGGTCCAAGAGATGAAGGCCTCTCCTAGGCCACTGCATATAGCCCCCTTGGCAGGGCTGGCTGCTTTAGGGCTAGCCCTGAGGGGAGGACATCTGCTGCTGGGGGCCGTGGGAGAGCGGTGGCACCACTGACCCAGCTCTTCATTAAACAGTAACACACTGCCTGGAGTCTGATGTGTGGGCCCACCCCAGCTCTTCCCTGAGTATGAGGGTGGCAGCTGTGTCTGGAGGGCACCAGGGGAGGTGGCATCTCCACCCTGGGGGAATCTCATGGTCCCCATGTAATGCTGTCGACTGTAGGGCTGGCTAGACTTTCCTTGGCTCCTGCGCAGGGCTTGCTGGGGTCAAAGCTTCTATGAAGGAGGACTGTGTCCAGGACAGGGTTGGGGGAGGCCTGTGCCCTGAGGTGGAGGGGTCTACAAGTCTCTTCAGGGGACCTGCCTTATCTGCAGTTTGGGCATTTTCACTTCCCTCTCCATGTTCCATGTATCTTGAAAGGAACTAGGAAAGGGTGGCATCATGACAGGTAGCTCAAGGCATAGTAGATCTTGAGGACCCTTTCCCTTGTCCTGTTGCTGGGCTCCTGGTTTCTGGGTTGTCTTCCAAGTCAAGGCATCTTAGGATGGGGCTCCTCACCAACTGTGCCTGCATGAAGGCTGCCTTGTGTGCTTTCTCCTGATTGGTGGCTGGAGGTGAGTTCTGAGATCATCTTAGCTGGGTTTCCTGTTGCTGTCTCGTCTGTAGGGCAGGGGATTGATGTCCCCCTTGCCTGAGACCACCTTTGGCCTCAGCAGGAGGCAAAGCAGGGCCCTTCAGCACTAAAGTCTTCAGAAGTCTCACCCCTTTGGCACTGTGCTCACTTCCTACAGCCCAGTTATCCCTGGCTCCCCTTGCCCTCTGGTAGATCTTCTGCCCCTTGGAGATCTTCAGTGAGAATTCAAAGAAGCAGAAACGTGCAATTTTAGGAGGAGTCTTCTTTCTTACCTCTTTTGGCTCTAAATAAAGCCATCTGCAGAGTCCTTTTCCCTAAAGTGGCAGGAGCCATGTTGGTCTTGTCCATGCCAGGGGTAATTGCAGCTGCTATTCTCTGTGAGGCTCTAATGTCCCTTCTTTCCCATTTCTGCCCAATGTGAGAATCAGACAGACAGATGAGCCGTCAGCCACCATCTTTTGGGAGTGTGTGAATTTTAGTCCTTCAAATGGGTGCTCTGGCCAGACTTACATAGCCACTCAAGATGGTTCTGACTCTCCCCAACTGCTGCTCTGGCCAGACAAAAATTTGATCGCCGTGGTGACACTCTCAAGGAGCAGGGCCATTGGGGAACTCTGGTGGGCTTCAAGCAGGCACAGAGGGAGTCTTGGTCCACACCCTAGGATCTTCAGCAGAGCTATGCCAGGGCAGGGAAGGCTCTAGGGCAGTGATCTCAACCTTCCTAATGCTGAGACCCTTTAATACAGTTCCTGTGGGTTGCAACCCACAGATTGAGAGATGCTGCTCTAGGGAGAACAAGGCCATGTGCCTGCATGCCTGGGTGTGTGCACATAGATGAGTATTGAACATGCTCAGAGTCTTACTCTGTTGCCCCAGGCTAGCATGCCATGTTGTCAGCCTAGCTCAAGGCAACCCCAAACTCCTGGGAGCAAGTGATCCTTCTGCCTCAGCTTTCTGAGTAGCTGGAACTATAGGTGCCTGCCACAACACTCAGTTAATTTATTATTATTATTATTATTATTATTTTTGCCGGGGCTAGGTATAAACCTGCCACCTCTGGCATATGGGGCCAGCACCCTACCCTTTTGAGCCACAGGTGCTGCCCCAATTTTTTTCTATTTTTAGTAGAGACAGGGTCCCCACCTTGTTGAGGTTGGTTTCAAACTCCTGAGAGAAGAATTCACCCTCCTTGGCCTCCCAGAGTGCTAGGATTATAGGCATGTGCCACCATGCTGGCCAGAACACTATTATAATAAAAGGTAAGATGAAAATTGTGGCATGATAAATAGGAAACTGTAAATCCTGTCTTAAAATCATGGCCAAGAATGGAGATTCCAACACAGATAAAACTTTTGTGGTTTTTCATTGGGGTCTTGGCCATAATTTCAGTGTAGAATGTTTGTAAATCAGTTTGGTCAACCTAATTTTTTCATATCAAAATTGGAAAAGCCTGCCCTCATTACTGTTTTGCATAAACCTATTAGTATGCAAAGTGAAAATGTCCCACGAAACTCCTTGTTCAGAGATGCAGAGGAAGGTACTGCTAGACAAAATGCTTGGAATGAAAAGGGGGGCTGAGGCTCTGTCAGGCACACAGCTGACACCCATGTTTATTGAGCTCCTTATAAACTTATCTTAGTAAAGGTTAAAAATATCAAAAAGAAGCGAAACAATGTAAGATGTTAAAACTGCCATTAAAACTCCAAATCAGCACAAAACTGCTACTGATCACAAGCACAGTTAAAAAAGGCATTTTTACTTCAGACTTAACCACAAAAGCGCCAGAATGTCTGTTCCTGTTTGCCCATTTCCTTTAAGCTAAAACTGACTACGGTTGTGTAAGTAAGGGGGGAAGGTACAGGATACAGCAGCCCACTGCCTCAGCAAGTGTTATCTCCAGCTACACCCTGGTGAGACCCACCAGCTATCTTATCTGTAAACATGTGACTGTCTGCTTTTAGGCAGATCTAAACTTATTCTCAGAATAAGAAGCTTAGAGTCACGTTCCTCAGGGAGCACTTGAGAATAAACTACCATGCTTCAGTACGGGGGGCTGCACCCCAACAGCAAAGGGCCTTTGTTTCTGATTATCACTTGGGGCTTCTTAAGGAGTTTATCTTAAAAAGCCTATCACAGGTGGCAGCAGACTGCTTGAGCCCATGAGTTTGAGACCAGCCTGAGCAAGAGCAAGACCCCCATTTCTACTAAAAACAGAAAAACTAGCCAAGCATGGTGGTGGGCACCTGTTGTCCTAGCTACTCAGGAGGCTGAGACAAGAGGATCTTTTGAGCTCAAGAGACTGAGGTTGTGGGCAGCGCCTGTGGCTCAGTGGGTAGGGCACTAGCCCCATATACTGAGGGTGGTGGGCTCAAACCCCGCCCTGGCCAGCTAAAACAGCAATGAGAATTGCAAAAAAATTAGTCAGGCATTGTGGCAGGCACCTGTAGTCCCAGCTACTTGGGAGGCTGAGGCAAGAGAATGGTGTAAGCCCAAGAGTTGGAGGTTGCTGTGAGCTGTGTGCCACAGCTTCTACTGAGTAGGACAAAGTGAGACTGTCTCAAAAAAAAAAAAAAAAAAGACTGAGGTTGCTATGAGCTATGACAGGCATCCTCAAACTATGGCCTGCTGGGTGTTTTTGCTGCCACTGCCTGTCTTGCTTAGCAGCCGACTCGTCCTGGGGCCTGAAGTCTGGCCCTCCGACAGTCTGAGGGACAGTGAACTGGCCCCCTGTTTAAAAAGTTTGAGGACCCCTGATGATGCCATAGCACTCTACTCAGGGTGACAGAGTGAGACTCTATCTCAAAAAAAATTTTTTTAAAAGCACTCTCACACGCTCGGTGCCTGTGGCTCAAATGGCTAAAGCGCCAACCACATACACCCAAGGTGGTGGGTTCGAATCCAGCCCGGGCCCGCCAAACAACAATGACGGCTGCAACCAAAAAATAGCTAGGTGTTGTGGCGGGCGCCTGTGGTCCCAGCTACTTGGGAGGCGGAGGCAGGAGACTCGCTTGAGCCCAAGAGTTGGAGGTTGCTGTGAGCTGAGGTGCCATGGCACTCTACCCGGGAGGACAGCTTGAGGCTCCTGTCTCAAAAAAAAAAAAAAAGCACTCTCACAAATTAATAAATTAATTTTTTAAAGAAACACTCTCACCAATTTAAATATTGGAATAATTATTCAAATGTTTAGAAGACCCAGGAGTTCTGTATTTTTGTTAATTTTTTGATACTGAAAGAATTGTACTCATCAATATGATGGTTTGTGCCGATGAACATTGGAATCATCTTTAAAGCCACTTGAAATGTTGGGAATGGCAGGTGGACTCTGGGTCCTATGGGCCAGTGCCAACAGTGGCTCTTGGCTGTTCTGGGGGAACAGCCTTGCTGTCACAAGCTTTTCTGCTGGCCTCTGATTCTGGGGCTTGTCCTTCACACACCAGGTTCCCTTAGGATAACTCATTAAAGAACAAATACAGACCCCAAACCACCCGGTTTCACTGACTGGTGATGTTTTATGCATGTGTGTTTTTTTATGTTCTGTTATGTAAACTAGGGATGATAGTTTATCCCACTCCAAAGTTATAAGAAAAATCTAAGATAAGGACATCACTATGATGTTTGAAAGGAATTTGTCCTTTGATCACAATGATGGAATATTACTTATGAGTTTAGATTATCTGGCTGATATATATACTTGCAAGGAGACAGTGATCTGTGGGCTATCCACCTGGCTATTAAGAGAACCTCCTCAGATCTAGGAATGTGAAACTCAGGTGTGGAGCCAGCAGCTGGTCCCTGGATGGCAGGTGAGTTGAAGTTGTAATGGTGGTGTGCTGCCATCTTCTGGCCATGTTACAGAAATCATCAGGCGCGGCTACCAGTTTTAGTCTCTGGAGCTTTTTATAAAATTACCATGGGATTCAGTAGTGCTGGGGCTTAATTGGTCATCTTTATCTCTAACACGAATTCTGGTTTTAGAGTGAGTCATGTCTTAAGGACAGAACTGAGATGGTATAACAGTGAGTGACCAGTCAGGAAAACAAACAAGTGTGGATGTTTCCAACGGAGGGAATTTAAATAGAAGGGTTAAACAGAATAACAGTGTTTGAAGGGCTAAAAGAGGAGTAAAGTAATTCAGGGATTAGTGACTACAGAAGCTTCTATCACTTCTAAGTTGGCAAAGGGGCCACCAGTGTTACCCAGAGGCCTATGGAGCTGGCAAGTGGAAAGCTGGGAGCTGCAGGTGCCTGTGAGCCTCACATCCTGGCCCCGCCACCCAGGCCAGTGCATCAGTGCTGTTGGGGCACCCTGCTGCCCCAGTGAATGGGTGCCACCAGGAAGAGAGGACTGAAGCTCTTCTGAGACTTCCTCCACCCCAGACTTGCCTATTTTCCTCCCCAAGATCTCAGGCCCCAAGAAGCCCTGGAGAGACAGGAGACCTGGGTTCTAGTTTC